CAGCAGTCAGCAGGAATAAAGTGGGCATCCTAGTGGTAGGAGTAATTTTCAGCTTCCTGACAACAATTGGCAGAATGCTGGGAAAAGCTATTAAAAATGAGGTTGGATCACCAAAGTCTATTTTGGCCTATATTTAATGAGATGTGTCAGCTAGAATTTACAGTAAGTGGCTAATTGTTAATAATAGGCCTGTCTAAGACACTCTGTGACTTCAGCAGATCTGCACAATACAACCCCATGTGCTTGCTATGTTTTTCTTTATTGGGTATCACAGGTCAACTTATCACTGTAGTGAAGGAGCAGGATGTGACAGGAACAAAGGCATTGTTAACTTTATAAAAGTTTATTTATTATATATTATTGAACATATTATATGGGTAAATCAGAACAAAAAAGTTAAAAGTTAAAAATTAAGATGTGATCTCAGTGTAGCAATGGCATTTCATCTCCCCTCCTAATTGTGCTGAGGAGCAAGGCAACAGGTCAGTGGAGGAGGATGTTTGTGTTTAAGGTGCTGTGCAGCTTGGTTGCAAGGGATTTTTATTGCTCTGGGCAAGTTACTACATCTCTTTGTGCTTTAGTTTTCTATCTGTAGAAGGGAATGGCACTTCTTTCCATAGCAAAAGTAGAGGGTATGTGCACACTGAAGTGACTGAGGGATAGTAATAAGAACCTATAAAAAGGATTTGTGACATAATGACTTAAGAACGCTTTGTGCCAACATGTTTGTAGCTTGCTTGAAACTTTAGTTTCAAAGTATGACTCTGGCCCTCTGGGTGTATTAAGGCAGTGCTCAGTTCTCTGTCATCCCACTGTAATGTATGAGTGTAGAGGTAGCCAGGACTACTGTACTAAGGCCATGTCCTGACTATGCTGTGTTCTCAGGAAGTCGCTGCCTGAGATACTTAATGCTTCAAATTAGCTGCTAGAAGGTATTTGGAGATTCCTTTCCTTCTGCTCGTCTAGTTCAGTAAAGTTTTTCAGGAAGGTCTGATATATTTCATTGAAGTAACTGATGTATTTAAAGAAAGCAGAAAAACTTGAAAGACATAAAAATCTTTCTTTTTGGGTTTGAAATGAACCAGACCTTGCCTAAATCCCTTCACCATCATATAAAAAAATGTTTATTGTTTCTGGCTTTGCTTCTTGACAATCGTTTTCCTCTCATGAAATCAAACTACATATAAACATTATCTACTTCTCTATTTTCTTTGTCAGACTTCTGTGGTTTCTGATAATGAACAAAATCTGGGAGACTGCTTTCCTCATATATTTCCAAAATGCATTCTGAGAGTCTAGTGTAGCTTTTATAAACCTGTACATTGTAAGGTATCTTAGAAACTATAGTGTAAATGATCAAACAAAAGTAAAAACAATTTACAAAAGTGATGCATTTTATTTCTCACCTTTAAAAAGAAAAATCAGAACTGTTTGTTGAAATGGTTGGAAAACTGATGGAAACTGTAGACACTTTTTTTGAATGGTACCTGGTGGAAACAAGGTTACTGGTAGGTACTGCATATGTTGAATAGGGATCCAGACTTTAAGGATACTAGAAAATCACCAACTGGGTGAATGGGCTTATGGTGGTTGTGCATGCTAAATAAATTGTTTGAATTGGAAAGGGAGCTTAGGTGATAGATGGCACATCCTTATAGAGGGCTGCACATTGGAATGGATCTTGTTAGTTGAGCATGAGGCCCAATATTTTAGTTGTTTTGTTTGTATAGAAGTGATTTTTCTTTGTGTATTGGGTAATTTCTGAGCATTAAGCATTCATCCCTTCTTTCCACCTTCTCCAGCTATCAGTTTCCTCTTAAAGATTAAGAGTTTATAAGCCTACAAAATGAAGAAGAAAGTTAAAAACCCAAGACTTAGAAATTGAAACTGAAGGGAAGGTATCCAGCCTTGGAGCCTGAGTCTCACTCGTCAGCTGCTCTCAGAGTCTATATAAGGTCTCCCTTTCTGTTGATTTCTCAGAATGAAGAGATAGGGCACAAATAATTTATTGTGGTCTACAGAATAAAGCAAGAGACATAGTAACAATGCTTCTTCTGTATCTATTACTCTCCTTGCATGTGATACATTCTGAGGGCTTTTTAATACTGGCGTTATTCAACATCTTTGTTGGCAACATGGACAGTAGGATTGAGTGCACCCTCAGCAAATTCACGAACGACACTGACCTGTGTGGTGCGGTCGACAATCTTGTCAACTATCATCTTGGCCTTGTGTATTGAGCATTTTATTTCTTATTGTATAAACAAATGTTTAGTTATTTATATGTGCACCACCTGTTTTTACAAATTATTTTGTTAGTTTATTAATGTAATTCGATGAAATATCCAAGAATACCTTACCATCTTTCTGAAAGCATCATTCTCAGCTTCACAATTAATATATTTTTGTAAAGCAGTGTAGATCTCATCCAAGATCAGCTTACTTCTTCACTTCCTATGGCATATTTTCATATTTAATTTGTGCTCAGTTATTGTGCTATGTTCCTTCAAGAAATGTCTGGACCCTCTGAAAGGTGGGAAGATATTTCCCCTTTTTGGGGAGAACAGGTTTGAGAAATGACAGTTTGAGGCAGGTAAAGGAGTCACACCAGGGAGCTGTATGCCTGCAACTGAAGTAGAGAGGTAGCAGTGAGGAGGAGCCAGCGATCCCAGAAGAGACTAAGAGAACCTTCTATGGATAAGAAGGGACTGGTCAGAGTTTTCTGAAACTTAATCACTGGATTAACTGCAACCATTTATGGAGGAAAGGATCCAGTAGGAAAGAAAGTTTTATGCTACCTTCTTTAGTTGCTTTGATATTTCACTATTTAAAATATGAAATCAGTGAAGTTGTAGTTCACTTTCTGAACTATTTTTTGTCTTTTTTTTTTTTTTTTCGTCTTTTAAGGATTAAAAGCATTGTAGGATTCTTTATATGCTCACTGGCTGAGAAAGTTCTACATGAAGGCTCTAGCTGACTTAATGCCTTCCCATCATAAATACCTTCTTGGGAAACTAATGAACCTCTTAACTCCAAGTAGCCAAATGAAACAATTCTGGCAAATATAATGGTAGTCCTAAAGAGTTATGTTTTTGTAACCTAGCAACTTTTAATGCAGATAGTGCAGATGTTCTGCAGGGATCTCAGTAGTTTCAGACCCTAATAACTAGATTTATTTTTCAGAAGAGCTTTTGTTGTAATAGACTAGGTTATTCACCAGTTTAGCGGTTGGTATAGTATCACATCACATGGTGGTGAACTAAGCAAATGCATTTGAAATGTATTTAAATGATGTTACTAGAACAAAGTTTCTGTTATCAGTATTTTAGTAAATTGTAATTTCTGTGATGAATTTTTTTTAAAGTTTGTTTCCTGCAACTAGTGTTGTAGCATGGCCCTGAATTGGTGACTAAACTCATATTGTTTTTTAACTAATTGGAAAAATATTCTAATGATGCATATGGAGGACATATCCATGGTGTCATTATGGCAAAGGGATGAGTCATTAATGATTAGTACTAGGTGACAATAGTCTTCTGAGTTTTCCTTGTTAATTTTTGTGTTGGAGGAGGCAATAACATGTACTAGTCATATAGAAAATAGAAAATATTAAATAGAGAGTTTAAATGAGCTTTCTTTTCAATTAGGACCTGTTTAGTGTGGAGGATAATGTAAATGTCATCTACCTAAAGGAAAATATGATGATTCTCCTTGATAGTTATTTGAAAATGTGTAATCCTTGTACCGTTATCCAGTCATGTGGAATTGGGGCACACTTTTATTCTAAACTGCTGTGAAGTTGTGGAGGGTATCTGGCTAATTTCCAAGTCAAGCATGATTACAATGCTGTGCCTTCAACAAATTTCACAGAACTAATTTAGCCTTCAAAGGCATGAGAGGTTAAAGCTAGGTCAACTAACATCCTTCTTGTGCAGCAGCATGTCTTCAGTTAATTATGTTGCATCTAAATGTGTGTTCTGTGTTGTCATATTGACTAAACTAAGCCTAAAAATACTATAAAAGAAAAAATGTAATTGATGAATATGGATGCACAGACTGCCATCATGATTTATTTAATAGCTTCTCAAATGTATTAGTGAGGAGTTTCAGCTTAGAGCCCATTGTCCAATGCTGCAGCAGATCTGTCCTACAAGCAAAATCTTACCAAGTGTTAATAAAGATAATAATATTTTTCAGGCTAAGCTCTACCGACACATGTATGAAACCATTATAATGTATCAATTCAGCTTGAGTTAGACTTCTAACAATAAGAAGTGTCTGCAGAATTACATATTCATTTTTTTACCACATCAAATAGAGTATAGTGGGAATCAGAGCTTTTTGTAGTAATTAATACAGTACATAGACACTTCTAAACTATAACAATGCCACATCATTTAAATCACACTGTTGAGCCCTATAGAAGGAGAAGGTAATGTAATAAATTACATCTAGGTGATGTAAGGAAATAACAATATAGATAATACTGTACAGATGTATACATAGTATATATAAAGGCTTGTACTGTACACAGATCTTGTGATACTATTGGTTTCTTCTTTATATGATGCCTATTCATGCTCCTGCTAGTGTGAATGTGTGTAAACACAGCAGTATCTGCTCAAGAGCATCAGATTAACTGATCTCTCTACTCCTGTATGTTCTTCAGGAAATATGCTTCACAGCAATCATTAAGTGTTTGCTCAGGTCTGTACATGATATCCTTTCATACCTGTGAACTCAGCATGGGCCTGTAAGACCTGCACAGTTTCTGATTATGTAATCGTGTCACTCATCATCTGCTTTTCTACCTGATCAGTTTGCAACCTCACTGCGGCATAGCTGCACATTATGGGACAGGATTCCAGAACTCCTGAACATCTAATCCTACACTTCCATCTTTCTATGTTGTCTATTCTATCCTGCCTGTAACTGTATCCTACCTACTTCTTTGCCATCAGTGGTCTTGCTAAAGACTGTTATCCATCTTTGCTTTTCAGTTCTGCAGTATCATCCCAATATCAGCCAGATGAGCACAGCTGCATCCTGGAGAAGTACCTGGAGCAAGGACTGAAAGGCATATGATTCAGCAAATGCAGTTTTCTCACCTGCAGACAGACTGGACTATATTGCATTGATCAGATGAGATGAAGATGATCCAGAGGTCTGGGAATTTTCTAACTATATTTTGCTGCTGTGAAGAGCTAGACATTTCTTGTCAGGACATATCTTGTCAGATACTCCGAGTTAGAGCCCCAAACACAGAGCCGCCTGCCTGCCACAACCCTGTTTACAAAGAAGGTGAATTTTTAGATACAAGGAAATGGAAAAAATATCAAAGTTGAGAAGTCCTAGAATATGACTGTGGTGATGACCCTTGCAAAAACTGGGATGTCAGACAACTCTGCATAGGATGCTGTTTCTCTGGGTATTCTGGGAACTAAATTCAAAAGACCTGTGCTTAGCACTGTGTCCAGGGTTTCCCTCACAACAGAAGACTTTGAGAAGCTGGGGCACCAGTTCAGTAAGTACAGCTTAATATTTCTATTTTTTTTGTGGGACATTTCTGTCTTAAGAACTCTTCTGGTGAATGACTGTAATGCAAGGAGAAATTCTGGCTTTTCAGGGAAAAATTAGCTCTGATTTAGAGCAGAAGCCATACAAGGGCCTTCTAGCTATGCCCCTGCCATTTGCATGCCAAGATGGCTACCAGCTGTGGGGACTTTGGGCAAGAAGCAGTGTATTTGGAAGTACGGTATTTGTATTTCTAGTTATATTGCATGGCCAGGTGTTCTTCAGTGGCTGATGCTTTCTAAAAGTGTATTTCTTAACATCTACTTGTAGTATCTATGGATCAAAGTAGAAGATTCTGAAAAAAATGTTAATTAGGCTAGCTTTAACAAATTATTAATGAACCTAACATTATTTGGAACCTTTAGCCGAATAAAAGCTATTATCATGCAGAGTTACTAGGTCTTTGTTAGTGTGGTTCAGCAGAAGCTGTGCTAAATGCAGGGGAACTGTCCTTGCTGGTAAACAATGTATTCATGGACTGCTGGAATATGTATATCTTTAGTGCACCAATCACTGTGGAAAAATACCAAGTGCTCTTAAGGAACGTTATGTTACTACAATGTTTCCCCTCTTCTGCTTTCCACACCTCTATGGGAGAGTATCTAGGACACCAAAAGACTAACTGATGGTTTTTGCAAATAAAAGACCTTTAAAAAAAAATCCAAGAAGAAAATTATACCCCAGATCCACATGAATGCAGATAGTGAAGCCACAGTAAATGTTCTCCTTCTCTCTGTGGCCTAGTGATTGTGCAAAGGAGCAAGCATGCCATACCTGAGTGACAGAAATGAGAACTGGTGGCCTTGTAACACAGGCAGTGGGTGTGGAGGGAAATGAGTTCTAACACTTTGAAAATGGGAGATCAGGAAAGCTGAAGGCAAACATAAACATAATAATAAAAGAAATCTACCTTATAAAAACACTTGTAGACCTGTTGCAAACTTCATAAATTGTTTTTCAAACTTTGAGAAACATATTTTATGTGTATAAAAGCTTTCCATGGCTAATTTTAATGCACAAGAGCAAATTCATGTGCAAATATTTCAAGGTAAATTAATATCAGGCTATAGTCCCCAAAACATCAATGTGAATGTATGCTACTGAATATAGTTGCAGCCACTACAAATGAGGGACTTTACATTACCTCCCCTCTGCCCCATTTTGCTGTGTTTTGTCATATTATCCAATGAGAAAATTATGATATCCTGACAGAAACACTTGCCTGTTTTAGAAGGTGCCTAATCTGTAAATAACAGCTTCTGCAAGTTATTCCCAGATACTTTGAATAACTGAGCGGTTGCTTACCCACATAACTGCAATATGAGGAATTCTGGAATTTGTATACTGCTAAAACTCTTTACTGTGAGAGATGTATTTTATCTTAAAGTTAATTGACATTAGGTGGCTTCATCTTAGTTATGTGAAATAGATGATCTTTTATTCTTTTAGATTTGAGGATTTGTCGGATTGAAAGTGTACATTAGTACTTTACTTGCTTTTAAAATCCTGGAAGATCTTCTGTGCAGAACAAGGCACAACTACCTCCAGAACAAACTGAAAAATAGTATTTTCTCCTTTCCTTTCAGTAAAAGGATTTAATTTAAGTTTCTAGAAGGGACACATAGGAATTGTGGCATAATTATACTAATTGGTGCAACACATAGAAAACTTTGCCATACTAAGTCAGTTATTTTATGGTTGTATTTGCAGCCTACCTTTTTAGTTTGATTTGCTCAGGTGTGTTAAAGTTATCTGTTAGGGTAGGCAGTTACCGTATTGACAAAGCCAAACATGAAAAGCAAGAAATGTCAGAGGCTACTGAATAATTACCCCTACTGTCACAGAAACTGAAAAAATTCAGGAATGAAATATATCAAACGATTGTTAATTTTTCTTGGCAAGTGTTATGTGGAAATACATCTTGCAAAATAGGTATTTTCTGGGTTTTCCCCAGTTTTCTGGGGAACGAATAAGTACAAACATAGAACTAACGTTTAGAAGATGGGATGTTTTTGGACAAACACAATGAACACAATTTAAAATTATATTCCTGCCATAGTTTATATATGTATAAATATATATTATATCTGTATAGAATTCTCTAGGTCTTGAAGACCTCAGGTTACAATATTATTTTAATTCTAATTCATACCATTGGTTTACACTTACTAAATTCTACTCCCAAATTGTACTGTACATTTTTCCCCTTTATTTTCATATGTGTGAAAATACTTACAGATTGATATAAAAATACTTATGAGAAGTCATGCACATAAAAAGAAACGGTGTATATAATTAATAACAGGGATTTTGAGCTTTGTTTTTAAAACGTGATCCATTTTTTTAAAAAATTCTGTAGAGTATATAGGTTTGAAATAGGGGCTATTCTCTTAGTAATTGGTCTGAGTGAAACTGCCCTTTGTACAGAAGGACAGCATGAGGTTGCTTGTGTACTACTTACTTCCTTGCACCCTAAGTATCACATGCAGAAACTGCAAAGGATGGATATCCTCAATGTCATGTTATGAAGCTGAAGTTATTCTCAGGCATATCTACTTTGTAGGGGTCAAGGGGTCAACCTTTTTTTTTTATTTTTTAGGCCTGCAATTTACACCATTTTTATTTGTCTGCATGGTCCTGCCGATGACCATAGACTAATTCAGCTCCTGGTGGACACTTAATTCCATAAGCAAAAGAATGCAACCAGAAATAATCTGGAGCTATGGATTCCATCTATTAGAAACAAACCAGTAAATGAAGTATAGAACTGAAGGCCTTAGACCAAACCAGCTGAGCCAAGCTTAAGACAGAGTCTGTTTTAATTTTGGCAAGCAAAAATTAAGACCACTGGAATTTGTGTCTGTGTGTGTCAACTTGCTTCTGTTTCAGAACACCTTCTTCTCATCTGGATTTTTGGCCATTTGTTTTTAAGGGCAATCCTTGGGGCTTCCATTGTCTTGCTCAGGAATTAATAGGTGACTAGATCCATTTGGTTCTTGATGGGGCACTTTCTATCAAGCCTGATATTTACATGCAATCACTCACTGTTTCCTATTCAGCACAGAAATTAAGCAGTTCAAAACTGAGTGTAATAATACAGAAAGAGACAGGGAGACAGAAAGGTTCATAGTTATAAAACATTCCCAGCAGGAGCACATTCTTATCTTTGTTCTCTTTAGAGTGTTTTGCAACCAAATCAGACCTGCATATTTTTTCATGCATATGCCATGTTAGTAAATAAGGAAGGAAATGAGGAACAGGAGATGCTGCTGAACTGAAGGAGATTCTGAGCTACTGGCTCGGGGTTTCCTCACAGATCAGTTGCTGCTAACTTGCTCTGGGGTAAAGATTTTAGCAGAGCATTGAAACATATCAAAAATGCACATTGAGAGGTATCTGTGATTTAACTGCCATAAGTAAACTTGGTGAAATGTGGTGCATTTTCTAAAGTGCAGCTATTTCATATCACATTATACTATTCTTTTATTATTGTGTTAGACTTTTTGTGATCCTCTATTTAAATCACCCTCCTGTAATTCTGTGCTTCCCAAGACATGCCTGTTCCTTTCACTCATAGGGCTGCAGTGAATGTTTCTTACATTTCACAAGTATGTCACTTCATTCTTCTTCTATTGGTGATCTTTATCTTGTACTTAGTTGTCACTCTAAATACCTAACTCAGCCTTCTGCAGGCAACTAATATTGTCTTTGATAGGATTTTTTGTCTATGAAATGGTTTTTGTTTGCCCAACTGGAGCTGTCAGCTTTAAGCAAAGTTCTGAGTAAGTTTAAGTTTAAGTGAATTCTGCATAGAGGTGTTAACATTTCTTGACCCTTGTGGGGCTTTCTGGCTGACAGGGACTATGAGCCACGCTGTGATAGGAGCATGAGGCCATGTCTCAGTCTTTTCTCTGTTTTAGTTGTTGAGATATCTCCAAGAGCATTATCTGGAAATGGTCAATGTGCTGTGCTGGAGGGGAAAAAAAAAAGGTCAAAGCAAACGTACAACTTTCTGGGAAGGTGTTCAGATACTCTGAGCTTCTTCCACCATGTGGTATCCATATGAATAGCCAAGGTACTGTCGAACTTATTTTAACACAGTATTTGGCCTTTACAACTGAATAAACAATTCTGTGATAGATATCCCAAAATACATAGCTGGGTGGCCTGAGTGATAAATGTCAACAGGGGACATAAAAACAAATCATGTTTTTTGGCAAGGCCATAGAGGCTGTATAAATATTTCAGAGATAACTGTGTGTATCTTAAAATATGTTTTAAAATTCACTTGACTCCTGCCTCCTTTTAAAGACTTATAAACAGTCAATTTAATTAGTATTGCCTGGTCTCATAGATTTCACTATCAGTTGTTGCTATTGGTCTAAAATATTGAGTAGTGTCTCAGTAGATTAGCTATAATTTTCTTATGCATAATTTATTTACATGGAAGTAGATGTTGTTTGAAATTCCATAGATACAGTTCACAGATTATCATTGTGCGTTAGCACATATTGAGCTATTTATTATTTAACAAAAGTGTAAAGCCATAAAATGACCTATTAAAAATATTTGTGCACACCTCTGTTTAAATAGTTGATTAATGAAAAAGTCTAAGGCTTTTCTTTAAAATCTCATAGAATAACAAAAGTAAAAGAGCTACTTCCTCCTCCAGAGATGCTTCTAACAGTCATTAGCACTAATATGAATGATAAGTAGACACCAAGAGCTGAGTGAATCCATCTCCCAGACAAGAGCAAATAGTATACAGAATTCCAGTGCCTCTGTTGACCTTTGCTTCTCCCTAGAAATGTAGCCTGTGTTTGAATATTGTTTTGAGACTGCATCAACGGATAGAAGTGCAGGTGGAAAGCAAATTAATGCACAGCACAATTACTTCAAAATCATAGAATATGCCTGAAGTCATTCAGTCTGTTTTTCTGTTAGAATATA